TCACTCACTCACTCACTCACTCATTCACTCTCTCTCTCTCTCTCTCTCTCTCTCTCTCTCTCTCTCTCTCTCTCTTCTCTCTCTAACTCCTTCTGCCACTCCACTCATTCCGGTGGCGCTGCGGTCGGGCGTCGCAGAACGAGTTGCATTTTGTGTTCTGTTGGCGGAAAATATGGTAAAGTTGTCGAGACAAAGAGCGAATCAAGCAGCATAAGAAACAGTCGCGATACAGCAGGTATGATATCCTTTTCAAGTAAAGACACGAGTACGAGCGAGGGGCATTTTACACAAAAAACGGTCCCGTTGATTCAATCGAAAGAAAATGTGGTAAAATAAATTTCTTGACTCAATGGGATTTCATTGATTTGAGGGGAAAATTCCCATAGAGTAATGCTCGCTTAAAGTTGGGGAAAATTCTATCATACTTTCCATCGGTTAATTTTCCGTTGATCGAAGGGATTCTACGTTAATTCAATGGAACCATTTTCTTGTGTGAGCGAGCGACTGATAATGAGAGAGTCAGAGACTTGTGTGTGCAGTGTGTGTGCTCCCACTCACAACCCCCATGCCGCCACACACAGGACGAGCCGAGGGGCGAAAAGAGAGAATAGCGGGGATATTGCCGCGCCCAGAGTATCGGGCGATGGTTATTGATATCGCTCTCTGATTGCTATCCCTGCAGCAGCCTGTGCAAAACAATGATGCTAATTATGACTAATAAGAATCAGTGATACGGTCTATGTCTCTGGACTCCGAAACGTTTCACCTCGTCCAGCTCAGGTGAGCGGCCATGGGACCACAAATGAAAATTGTGAGGAAAATGCGACATCATTCAAAATTTAAGAAATTCACTCGTGCCGGTTGAATAAAAACCAAGGAAATTACCGCATATTCTTTGAGGAGACTTCCTCAAAATCTGAGGAGTTTTCGCTAACTATGGGGGTTTCTCAAAGTTTTTCCTTTTTCCCTCAAAAATAAGGCATTGTTTTTACCGTGAATGTGCCGGTGTTTGAGTTTGCACTGGTAAAACAAGTGTTCACAGTTTAAACACCAACGTGTGGAAGTTATGATTTTAAACATATTACATGGTGTTTAACTCAAGTTGAACACTTGCGTGGTGTGCACATTTTAAACGTTTTGCACAGTTTAAATTCTGCACACTTGTACACACACAAATCTATTGGAACCATATGGTGTGCAGCTGCTTTACTTTTCGGTAGTGTTGAAATTTTAAACACTAATTGACGTTTAACCTAGTTAGACACCACCACAATGTGTTGAGAAAATGCACAGCACACTTGAACTCAAACACCAATTGACGAGCAACATTAAATAATTGTTTTACCAGTGTGACTTCGTAAGCACGTAAGCATACAACAGTAGAAGTTAAATCTGTGCAAATCTGCCTGCTCAAATATTGTTTGCAGTGTGCCTTGTTGGCCCGGCGAGACGCCCCCCGTTTTTGTTGGTCCAGTAATTGGCGACCTGACCCCAAGCTCACTGCCGTACTGCCGTGCAATCACGCTATCGTCTCGCCACCTCACTCGGTCCCGACCAGTAAACGCCCCCCCCCCTCTCTCTCTCTCTCTCTCTCTCTCTCTCTCTCTCTCTCTCTCTCTCTCCCCCTCTCTCTCTCTCTGAAACACACACGACGATCAGGCTCGTACGGACAAGCGAGCGACGGTCCACCTGCCTCTCCTCAAAGTAGGGAGCCGATTGCTTGGATTGCTTTTGGCAGAAATAAAACAATCTTCTTCTTGCCGCGCTCTTGCGGTTTTTGCGAAAGAAGGAGAGGGAAAATAATAAAAAAGAGAGTGATTTGGGGGGGGGGGAATGGAAGAGAGACAAAGACATTCACACTCGCCCTTGTCCGTACTCCACTTCCTCCTCTTTGACGTCTCCTCCTCTGCTGGCTGGGCTGGGCGGCGGCCACGATCCCTCTCCTCCCCCTGCGGAGGCTGCGGAGGCTGCGGAGGCTGCGGTCCAGTCCAGCCGGCGGGACGGGACGCGACGGGCGCACTGTGCTGCACACGGCGCTGCAGCTCACGGCGCACTCCAGCCAGGTCCACTCCAGCCGCTCCAGCCTCGTCTCCAGTCGCACCGCGAGGACAGAGTGTACCGCCAAGTGAAGTGTGACGCGCGGGCGACCCGGGGAAGGACCGTGTCGGCCCGAACCTCTCGAGCAGGTCCTTCACCACCGCCACCAACAATAACTTCCTTCGTCGGGGTGCAAGTGCTGCACGGTTCTGCTGGGAACTACGGAAGAGCGGTAAGGACATGACCACTAAAGCACCCTTGATGATGTGAAAGTACTCTCCAAATAATGCCAAAGGACATTTTTCCCGCAGTGGAATAATGCATTATTTGTGAGCTCGCTCTACCAGATGCAATTTTTACATCTAAACAGCTACAACTGCTGGACAATACAAAAATTTTGCGTGAATTTTTTTCACAAACTGGTTACCCTTTAGATTGAAAAAAAAATTACATCTACAGATTGGGCTTTCATACAGCCCCGCGGTTCCCTCTTTTACTTGTGCTTGAAAATAGCAGGAAATCCTCGCGTGGTGGTATGGAAAATGGTAATAGCCGCGACAGTGTAGCGGTGCGGCGTGAGGAGGCGCGCCATGCCCGCGAGAGTGTGAGGAGGCTCGAAACATTTCGTGTGGCCATATTACATGCGTGGATACCGCGGCATGAAAAGAGATGTCGCATCCCAGAAAGGAAGCCGGCCAAAAGGCATTTTCACGAGTCGCGTGCGATGTGTTTGTGTGTGCGGCTCGGCGTCATCGGCGTCGTATCCGACCGAACCCAAAGTGAGTTGAGTTGCGCGAGTAAGCGACACGACGTTGTCCTGCACGCCCATCGACGCGCGTGCCCCCCCCCCGCACACACTAGCACGGATTTGTCCCCTCGGTGGTCACTCGCGATACGTTTTATAGCCTCTCTCTTTTCTTCGTCTTCCTTTGCTAATAGACCATTTCAGGGGAGGTGATAAGAAGAAGAAAACAATCAACAAACCGGAAAAGCACTGCCTTCTAATCGCCCCCCACCCTCCGTCCCTCCTCACCCCTCGCCTAACTGTTTCCTGTTTTGGTGATTCTTTTCTTCTTCTTGTCATCGCCACTGAAATGGTCTATTCCGCGGTGTCTCTTGCTCTAAAGAGCAGTTTTAACAAAGAGACCTAGGCAAGTGTTGGCCTAACTCGGTATATTTGCTCTCTTAGCATTTAAAGGTGACGTTTGCCGGTATTTTTTTTCCATGAGCAGAGGGAAGCGAGTAAGTTTCGAAGTTGCACAGAAATTGAGATGAGGTGAAATTATTGTTTTTCGTAATTATTCCGAGTTTGAGTATAGTCGGAAATTAACAGTTGCCTATGTCTCCTCGTACATACCGTACCACGTACTCGGTACTGTTCGGAAGCCTTGGTGGTCGCGGTTGCCGGCGTTTCCCTGACGAGGTGACAACACTCCGGGCGCGTGCTCACGGCCGCCGCCGTCCCCCCCGTCTACGGCACTGCTCGAGTGCGTGAGTGTGCGTGAGTGTGCGCGCGCGCTCCCAAGTGCAAGTGCGAGTAAGTGTGTGTGTTTTGCTTTCGCACGTCGCGGTTAGCAGACCAGGCTGCGTGCGGCAGCTGCCCATAAGGGTTTACCCCTCTTCCCCCTCTTCCTCCTCCTGCCGTCTCGACTTGTCGTTATGCCGCCAACACCCGCCTCGCCTGCCTGTGCACAGGTAGCTCCCCGTTGTTCCAACAAGATGTGTGCGATTGATGGATGTGACATTGTGACAAGCTGCTTGACGCCCGCAGCTGCCGCAGCTTGCTGCAGCTTGCCGCAGCTGCCGTGATCCTATCGCGCCGCCGCTACTTAACCTCCGAACAGGAAGCGGCAGCGGCGGCTCCAGTCGGCGCGACGGTTTGTCACCGCGAGGCGCGAGGCGGTGTGGAGTGCAGCAGGCGAGCCAACGGCGGCAACGGCGGCCGGAGTGAAACACAAACTAGCGGCGCCTCTAGGCCATTCCAAAAGTTGGGCAAGAGCGGAAGTTAATAGTATACCCAAGTTATTGTGCACAGACGCGGTAGTTTTATTTCAAGCAGAAGCAGTTTTTACAGGACAAGTAGTGCGTTATGCTTTCTCCTCGACGCATCAGAGTAACCGCACGCATTGACTTCCCACCGTCGTCGCAACTTCCCGCACAACAGTGTTGTAGTTCTGTAAACATTCGAAGAGATAAGAGAATCTCGGTCGTGTAAGTCTTCGTAATTGAAATAATGGAAGCGATAAACACGAAATGTACAAAACAGCAATGTGGGATGAGAAGGGGGAGGATGTAGAGCGGAAGGGGGGGAGGGGAAACAAAGAAAAATTTATAACTTTTTTATCAAAGCGGTTGTGCGATATTTTCTCAAGAAAAGATGCTATCAATCGGTCCCATTTCTCCTCGGCGCGACGACAGCGAGGCGGGCCGGGCGGGGGGAGTTCGGCGAAGGGTGTTGGCCTTTGCACCACGAGCGGCATGGCGCGGCGCGGCGGCAGCGTCGTGCATTGTTTGGTCGTCGTTTTGTCCGGCTGCCGTGCGCTGCGCTGCGCCGCGCGGGGCATGAGCTCATGCCGTGTATGGCGGACATGGCGGGACCCGGGCGACGCGACCAGGCCGCCGCCGCCGCCGCCGCCGCCGTCTGCCTCCTGCTTCCAGCAGCTCCCGAGCGCCGCGGCGTGCGCGCTCCGCCTAGGCGTGCTCACGGAGGTGCTTCTGCTCCTCCGCGTGCCACGGTGACGCCACCCTCTGTGTCTGCTGCAGCGCCGAGCAACATGCGATGACGTCAGCCGGCGGGCCGCGGGTGGGTCGCCGGGCGGCGCCCCTGCTCCCGCTACTGCTGCCCGTGCTGTGCGCCGTGCTGGCGCCGTCGTCCTGCTCCACGGACCTCCTAGCGCACCACCGGCACCAGCACGGCGGCGTGAACCTCCAGGGCCAGCCGGAGGCCGGCGGCCACCTGCAGCAGCCGGCCCTGCAGGGCCGCCACCACCACCAGCGCCACGAGGTCGGCGAGGACAACAGCGTTGACGTCCAGCCGGCAGCACCGAGCCAGCCCAGCCAGCCCACCACGACGAGGCTCTACGCAGCGGGGTGAGTCCAGGCGTCTCTTTATCAACATTGTGTTGAGTAAACTAACCAAGCACATTTACGCGACGTTGGGAAGCAGGTTTTCTTTTCATTCACAGTTCACAGAGGGGGTTTTCTTCTTCTTTTTCCCCTCCAAAGTGACTTTAACGCTGGCGTGCATTAGGCCGCCCGTGTCTCATTATTGATATGTCGTTCTGCGACACTCGACAGTGGAGACGCTGGGCGGAGCGCAGGATACATGCCTTCTTACTTCCCTTTTACATTTCTTTCTTTTCTTGTTTTTGTTACGAAGAGACTCTTGTCTCCATTTCAATGTGCTCGGCCGGCCGTGGCCGTGGCTCGGCTGGCCGGGCGAGGCGATCTCCGATGCGTTTTCCGATGCGAGGCGATGCGATCGGTTCGGAATGGTAATGATGTGTCTGCTCCGTCCCCCTGGTCCCCCCCTCGCCCGGGGGAGCATGGGTCGCCGCGCCGGCCGGCCGGGACGGGCTGGACCACGCCTGCGGGCACGCCAGCCAAAGCACGCCATTAGTAACCTGGGCGGGGCGCGGAGAGCTCCGGGGAGGGGTCGACCACGTAGAGAGGTGCAACAGTACGAGCAACAACAGTGCACCGGGGAGAAAGCAAGTGACCCAACGCTCAAGGACGTCTGGGCTGCTCCGCGAGTGCGGTGTGCGTTGTGCTGTGTGCTTGTGTGTGTGTGTGCACGACCGTATGTTTATCTTTGTATCGTAGTACTATGGGATGATTGTTGTTTGATCCAATCGCCAATCGACCAACAACTGCAACGAATAATAAGAAAAGAGATTTAAAAACGATGTGGCATTCTCTTCGGACGGCCCTGAACTCTTTTAATTCGTAAGGTTCTCCCGAAAAACAACGGGGTCGTCATTAGGGTGCGGAAAGAGTCGCACCCCGCCCTTGCCAATAATTTTGCCTCCATACTTACTTTTTAGTTTTTGTTTTTTTGTTTTTTTATCTTGTAATTTTATTTTTTGGCCAGAGCTTTGGGAGGTGGCGCGGCTGGCGCGGCTGGGGCGGCCCGGTTGGACCGACCGCGTGTCGCACCCATACACATAAAGCCGGTCCACCACCGCGTCCCGATGCATAAAGCCCACTTAGCGGCACGTGACTCGCGTGGCGAGCAGCGGGGTGTGGCGGGG